ATTTCTGGCTCTGTATTCTTTTTGTCACGGTAGAGAAAGCCAACTGATTTTTGTATGTTGATCTTGTATCCTGCTACTTTGCTGAATTGGCAGGAACCACTTTAAATACAGCTATCTCTGATCAGATTTCTGATCGGGTCAAGTAGATTTCCTTGGTTATCATCTCAGCACTAGTTGGCCTCCTTAATAGTATTTACCATAATTGATAATAACACATTTGGGTTTTTTAATCCTAATGACCTAAATCTTTGAAGCATGTAAGAACCAGGTGTTTTGTTCACTACTGTACACCATATAATTACCAGAGTGCCAAATAGGTAGTGTTCTGTATGAATGTAAACTTTATCGCACTTAACATTTTATATCTATCTCCCTTGCTCTTGAGAAAAAGAAAACTCTGTTCAAATAAGACTGTGTTTTAGTTTTGTAAGGTCAGATCCAGGTAATATGTATGACATATTTATTAAGTAGAACTAAATTCAACCGAGATGACGAAATGAACAACTAGACTGGCGTGGGAGGAGCAGAGAAAAAGGAAGTTTCCAAGAGGATGCATGGTGTACACTGCTCAGAAGGACAGAATACAGCAGACATGATAAGCAGTTTTAGAGAAAAGATATATGACGCTCAGTATTAGACCAAGAGAGGGATCTGCAGAACATAAAAGAACCCAGTAGATAACTGATAATACAGATATAGAACTGAAAAAAGAAGCCAAGTTAAAATGCACAGGTGTTAATTTCAAAACTTCAAGTCTTAAATCTCACCTGAAAAATATTATGGGGGAGGGAAAATCTCTCTGAAAACCCTCCATATTTTAAAAACAGACTTTCCAAAACTCATCCATGCTTCCATCTCAGTTCACTTCGGAGCATCTGTAAATTTCTGATACAGAGGTGAAATGAGATAGAGGTATATAGTATCAATGAATGAATGGGGAAATAAAAGAACATTTGAAAGCTGCTCTTCTCATGTGTATCTGTGCACTGGTGTCATCTTCTGCTTACAAATCTCAGAGCCTGTTTGATCAGCTCTAAAATGGGAATAACATCATCTCTCTAAGAACGTGTAATAAAAGATTAGACAGGCACACTGCAAAGCTTTGTGAAACTGCAACTGTAACATAAAGTCTAGCTCTTGTAGTTTTTCTAGAGTACGAGTAACATTCATTCATTTTATAGTCATCATCAATGTCCCAGCCTTATCTCACCTAGATTGATGGCTGGTGGATGTTCCCTTTTGATTCCTTCCAGGGTCAACTGTACTCTGCACATTAAGTATTCCAAAATATCTGCTTAATGAGAAAACTAAGGCACAAGTCCCTGTCTGTAGTCCTACTTTCAGCTTCCTTTAGCTAATGAGTCATATCAATCGAGTACAGTGGAAGAAATCTCATCACAAAACAGGCAAGAAGAGTTGAAGGAAATGAACATTTTAATACACTGAGTTTCCCAAAGATTATTTTGGAAAGTACTGTAACCTTCACGTTAGGTTTTTCATGTAGATAAGTATGCTGTCTTTTAGTGGTATTCGCACATGCCTCAAATGCAAAGCAAGTAACTACAGCCCCTATGAGGAAAAAAGAAATCATCTATCAACAAAACCATCCTTTACAAGCAAATATTAAGGCTTGTACAGTTCTGAAACAATTATGCTAAAGAGCGTAACTGAGCCGGGGAGTCCTTTCCACGTTTACCTGTAAATGAATTCTGGGCTACAAGTATTCAATCCCATCCCCTGAATTTAAATACGTGGGCGTACGCTAACTAGGGGAATTCCAGTTTATGCATTCAGCTGTTGAGCTTCCCCCCAGCCCCGCTGCAGTTTCACCTGTTCGCTCCACTGCTCCGGATCCTGTTTATCTAGAGCTTTTGGTCTAGGTTGGTGTAGTTTATCTCAGCCTGACTCAGGAAGGAATGGGAAGCACCGATTCCTAAACACACAGCTCCAAGGATGCAGCACAGGGAATGCGTGAGGAGTGGGCTGACTGTGAAGACATGTTCAAGGCTCAAGAAACCCAAGTGTTGTGTTTAAAGATTTTAAGACTTCGGCGATAGGTCCCGAGAAATCACTTGTCACCAAGGTCGCTTGGATGCCAGACCTTCGGTTCCTCCAAACCGGAGGCTCCACCTCGTCCTCTGGTTTCCGTTTCCCCCTACCTAGAGGTTGCAGTCCGCCCCCGCCCACCCCCGGACCTCGGCGGTGATGGGCAAAGTGGCCCTACTCACGTCCTTCTTCACTTCAGTCAGGTCTTCCTCGGTGAGGGACAGAGCGATGGGCTCCATGGCAAAGGCAGAAGACGGGACTCCTTCCGGGTCTGGAGCTTGGGCCGCGCCGCCCCGCCCAGGCCTGGGTCCTCTGGCCTCTGGGTTAGGGGCTGAGAAACGAGGCGGAGCGGGTGAGGATGAAAGGCCGCCCCTTCGAAAACAGAGTGACTGGGGTGGGAGGGCGGTCAACCCGTAGCACTTCCGGCTCCTCCTCAAGCGCTTCAGATAAAGACGCGCGGGACGGGGGGACGCCGAGGTGGGAGCCTGCCTTCGCCCTCAGAAAGGCTCAGAGGCAGGGACTTCTGCGAGGCTGATCTGGTCCTACAGACAGCCCATCACTGCTGCAGCCAACCAATCCCAGCCGGCGGACAACTCTTGGTCCCGCAACTTGCTCCACCCACTCACGTAAGGCCACGCCTCTTCAGGTTATTTGCATGTAGAGTAAGGAGTCGTTTCCGCAGTGGGGCACGTGGTTGCTCGGTTAGCCGGCACGCCCCATCCTCTCTCGCCCAGCTCGGTTGGTGAATCCAGCCAGGCAGGGTTTCCTGCACCTTTGGATTAAGCACTTTGTTCAACCGCTTCCTGCTGTTGTATTTGTCCACTTTTAAAATTTTTATGACTTTGTTTTTTTTAATTAAATTTTATTAATTTTAATGAACATTTACAGTTAACCCACTTTAAAAGCTTAAAATTATCTGGTCTCGCACTCTCACATATACGGCGTAGGTGCAATATGAACGATTTTTTTTTTTTTTCAAGAATAGGAACTACCACCCACAGTCCCTCCACGTTAACACTTTTATTATATATGTACATTTTGGGGCACGATAAACGGTTTTCATTACAGATTGATGTGCTGAACTTGATTTAATTTACTGAACACAGGACTATTGTGAGAACGAAACAGGTAAGGTGCTTAGAGGTACCTGGCACGCATAAACACTCAATGCATTGGTCATTATTAGTGCTTATTAAGCCCTTGCTCTATTAGGGAGTTCTGATGGCTAGCATCTCTCCCATTTTTGTGGACCTCGCTGCTTTTCCTAATCAGTCTCTGTCCTGGTGTCCTTCTAGTCCCAGGATGGTATTCTGACTACTAACAGGTGTATATAAAAGCCACAGAATGATTGGTTGGTGTACTTGGTTTATGACTTGGCTGCTAACCAAAAGGTCAATGGTTTGGACCCCCTGGCAACTCTGGGTGTGTGTTAGGGGGAGGGAAGGTGAGTCAATGTGCTACAAAGATTATTGCTCTGGATACCCTTTCAATCGGTTCTACTTTGCCCTATATGATTGCCGGGAGCTGGAATGGGCTCCAAGGCAATGGGCTTGATTTTGGTTAGGAATCTTAAAGATAAAGACTGCCATTGGTTTCTTCCAAGGAACAGCTGAGTTCAAGCAACTGAGTACTTAACACTGCACCACCATGTAGCTCTTGAAATGAGCTTGCTTGCTCATTGCCATCGAGTCTGAACAGAGAAATAGGTGACTCTCCAGCAGGATTTTAGAGGCTATAAATCGCATGGGAGATTGCCCATTTTTCTCCTTGAGAGCTACTTGAAGATTTGAACTGTGTGCCTTTGAGTTGCCAGTGTAACTCCTTACTACTCACGAAGTGGCCAGAGTTTCACCAGACCTTTGAAATATTGTTGTTAGATGCCATTAAGTTGAGTACGATTCAGAACACTATAAACAACAGACCTGAATGCTGACCTACCTTGTGCCGTCCTTATCAATGTGGACACTTGAATCCATTCCTGCAGTAATTTTGTCAATCCATCTCATTGGGAGTCTTCCTCTCTTTTTGCTTACACTTCATCTTTCCAAGCATGATGTGATATCCTTTTCTAAGGAATAGCCTCTTTTAGTATCATGTCCGAAGTATAAGAGATGGCGTTTCATCATCTTTGCTTCCAAGGAACACTCTGGCTGTACTTTTTCCAAGACATGACTGCCTGTTCTTTCGGAAGTCCATGGGATTGGACAATGAGTACTCTTAACTCAGCATCACAGCTCAAAGGCTGCAATTCTTTTGTCATCCCATTCATTGTCCAGCTCTTAGCAGCACAGCAGGTGATTGAAAAGAACATGGTCTAAATTAGACACCTTAGTCTTCAAGCTGACATCATTGCTATTAAGTATTTTGCAGAAGTTTCAGACAGCAGACTTGCCCAACACAATACATCTCCTCACTTCTGGTACTAAGTGTGTTGATCTTAATCCAAGCAATACTATGTCATTGACAGCTTCAATCCTTGGAGCTCTGGTGGCCTGGTGGTAAGGATCTGTGTTGTCAACCCAAAGACAAGATTTGGGTCCACTAGCTGCTCCATGGGAGAAAGTTGAACAAATCTCTTCTCAAGTGATTTCCTGTCTCTAAAAAACCACTAGAGGGTCAGTTATGTTTGGTTCTGGCATTATGGTCCATAACAACAATTTGAAATGTTGTTGTTGTTATGTGCCATCGAGTCGCTTGTGACTCATAGCGACCGTATGTACAACAGCCCTAAACCCTGCTCTATCCTGTGTCAATCACACTGCCTCTGACACACCCATCCTGATTACCCCAGTCACTGAATCAGTCCACCTCATAGAGGGTCTTCCCCTCTTGCGCCGTCCCTCCACCCTCCCAAGCATGATATCCCTCTCCAAGGACCTGTCCCTCCTTACAACATGTCCAAAGTATGTCAAATGAATCCCCAGAATCCTTGCCTCCAAGGAGCCACCTGGTTTAACCCTCTTCAGGATGAACCTGCTTGTTTTCTTGGCAGTCCATGGTACATTCAATATTCTTCTCCAGCACCACAGCTCAAAGACATCAATTCTCTTCTATCCTTCCTAGTCATTGTCCAACTCTCTGACACATAACAAGTGATTACAAAGACCATGGCCTGTATTAGACACAGATGAATTAATTACATTAGATAAATCTGCTGTCAGGGAACTTTCCAGACTACTGAGAAGCAAGGATGCCAGTCTAAAGACTAAGATGTGCCTGATCCAGGCCATGGTCTTTGTAATTAATTGCTATGCATCAGAGAGCTGGACAATGACTATGGATGACAGAAAAAGAAGTTGTAGTGCTGGAGAAGAGTCTTGAATATACTGTGGACTGCCAAGAACACAAATAGATCTGTCTTGGAGAGGGCAAAACCAAGTTTCTCCTTGGAGGCTAGGATTTTGAAGCTCCTTCTCACATACTTTGAGAATGTGGGCAGGAGGGACCGATCCTTGGAGAAGAATATGATAGTCAGTATGGTGAAGGAACAGAACAGAAAGAATCCTGATGAGATGGATTGATACAGTAGCTAGGACAGCGGGGTAGGTGTGTTGGAGTGGGACTGGCCCAGGACAGGGCAGGCTTCAGAGCTGTTGTACATAGGGTCACTATGAGTCACAGGCGAATCAATGGCACATAAACAACAACAATAACTAATTTATATTTGACTGCATGGGTCACAACATTCTATGGTTAACACTGAGAAGAATGAGGATCCTAGAATTATCATACAAAAATCTATATTTAGACCAAGAAGCAGTTGTCTGAACAGAACGAAGGAAGACTGCATGATATAAAAATCAGGAAAGTTGTGTGTCAAACTTATATCCTTTCTCTATACCTATTCAACCTGTGTGCTGAACAAAAAAATCTGTGAAGCCAGACTCCATGAAGAAACTGTGGCATGAGGATTGGAGAAAGACTTATCAACAGCCTGTGCTATGCAGATGGCATAGCCCTGCTTGCTGAAAGTGAAGAGGACCTGAAGCGCTTCTTGGAAAAGATCAAAGACTACAGCCTTCAATATAGATTGTATCTCAACATCAGGAAAACAAAGGTCCTTACCACTGGGCTAATAGACAATATCAGAGGAAGAAAGCATTGGATTGATATTGTAATTTATTTCATCTTACTTGGACACACAATCCAAGTACGACCTATCCTTGGTACCAACAGTCAGTAGAAAAGGAGACATATTACTTATTCATTTATACTAATATTACATATTCATATTATTAATATTACATCAAGGCTGCTCCAGAATACTGAAGAGCAATAAGATTGAAGTGCATCTAATTTGGGCTATGGTCTTTTCAGTCACTTGCTATGCTGGGCAGTGAATTAGGATAATAGAAAAAGAACTGATGTCTTTGAGTTGTGATGTTGGGGAAGAATACTGAATATCCCATGGACTGCCATAAAGAATGAACAGGTATTTCTTGGGAAAAGTGCAGCCAGAGTGCTCCTCTGATGCAAGGAAGGCAAATTTTCATCTCTCATACTTTGTATATGTTCCTAGGAGAGGCTATTTCTTGTAAAGGGTGGAGGGTCAGCAAAAAAGAGGAAGATGCCCCAACAGTATGGATTGACATGGTGACTGCAGCAGTGGGTTCAAGTGTATCAGAGACAGTGAGGATGGCACAGGATAGGACAGTATTCAGATCTGTATTTCTTAGGGTTTTTGTGAGTTTAACTTGACTTGACAGCACCTAACAAAAGCAAAATTTATTTAATAATTAGTATTTAATAATAACCAAATTATTATTTCTATAACACTTATCCTCTATATTTTTTTACCTACATGCATATTTCTGTATTTCCCTCATTTCCTGATTGCTCATACCAAGGGTGTTAATTGTGGATCCAAGCAAGATGAAGCTGTTGACAGTTTTAATCTACTCTCCATCATGAGACTGCCTATTGGTCCAGTGGTAAGAAACTTTGTTTTCTTGTCCTTGATCTTGTGCAACAAGTGCTTCAAGTCCTCCTCACTTTCAGCAAGCAAGGTTATGTCATCTGCACAATGGAGGTTGTTGATGAGTCTCCCTCCAATCCTAATGCTACACTCTTCTTCAATAGAGTCCAGCTTCTTAAATAATTTGCTCAGCATATAGATTGAACAGGTATGGAGAGAGGACACAACTCTGATGCATTCCCTTCACAATTCCAAACTATGGAGGGTTCCCCTGCTCTATTCACACAACAGCTTCCTGATCCAGGTATAGTTTCCACATGAGCA